TCCATTAGACTCAAGTGTCGGAAATATCTTCCTCGCAAAACTCTGGCTAAGTGAGAAGATGGGTTTTGGATGATTTGCCATAATTGCTTTGCCAGCAGTGCTAAACTAAAGTTTTCTTAGGTCTCCAGAGCCCGAACTTCCTTGGTCTTGTGTTAAGTAGATCTTCTCCCATGCAATCCAATGGAGAGCTCTTTTTTTATCTTGCATTCAACTCCACCAAAATCTTGATATGATGCTCTTGGGCTTATTAAGAATTTCCTGAGTAGCAGAAAGCAAGACATGACATAAGCTGGTAAAGCTTAGGCTAGAGATTTGATGAGAACCTCCTTTTCTCCATTCGATAATATTTTTGAGGACCACGAGTTGATTCGATTGTTAAATCGCTCTTGAATGAATGTAAATGCTTGTTTCTTGGATCCACATATTTTCTCTAAAAGTCCCATATACATCCACATCCACATCCAACCCGCCCACCCACAACCCCCTCCTTCCTTTTAGATCCCTAGGGTACGTTTTAGTTATGTCCTTACTTTCTGTGGTACTCACTTTCGGAGAATATAAAGAACTTTGCAGTATTAAATTTATGCCCTGAAGCTTGTCTATATTCATTGATTATCTTTATCAACTCTACATATTACAGGACATCTGCTTTGAAAAAGAATAAACTGGCATCTGCAAAAAGCAGATGAAAATGGTTGGACTCGCTTGCGCAATTTTGAGCCTTGTAATACGGCCTTCAGTTTCAGCTCCTCTAATATGTCTATTAGTGCTTCCGTAAATATGATGAATAAAAACTGGAAGAGCGGATCCCTTTGCTAGTGTCCTCTGAATGGCGTTATATTCCCTTTTGGTTCCCCATTAATTAGCACTTGATAAGATAGTGAGGAGATACACCCTCATATCCATGATACTCACTTCGGGTTAAAACTCATCTTAAGCATGAGTGCCTCTAGGAAGCTCTATTCCACACTATCATAGGCTTTACTCATATCTGTTTTTATTGCGACGAAATTCACTTTACAAATTGCATTTGTGTGCAGGGCATGAAAGGATTCTTTTGCTAGAAGGATATTATCCATGATTAATTTTGGAGCCATAAAGGCTGATAGATCTCCAAAATCATCTTCAGGTTGAAATGTCTAAGCCTCTTGCTCACGATCTTAGAGATGATTTTGTAACAGACATTACACACGGTTATAGGGTGGAATTCAGACATCTCCACCGGTCTTTCCATCTTGAGGATGAGGCATATATTCGTTTAATTTAGTTGAGGGTCAAAAAACCCTGTTTCAAAGAACCCATTGACCTTTTTGACAGTGTCTTTTGCAATGACTGTCCAGAATCTCTGGTAAACAAGGCTTGTCTTACCATCTGGTCCTGGAGCTTTTCTGGCTTAATATCAAAGAGGACAGTTTTTATTTCAGACTCCAATGGGGTCTTTGTTGACATCGCGTTCATCTGTGGTGTTACTTTCGCAGTAATATACCAGAGTGATTCCTCAAAGTTTGTGGGCTTTGTCGTCGTGAATAGATTCTAGAAATAACTAGAAGCCACCACATAGATACCTTCTTTTTTTTCAACCTATGCTCTACAGGCGTTTTTCCGTTTCATAATTCTATTTTGAGCTCGACGTTGCTTAGTGGTAGCATGGTAAAACTTTGTATTCATGTCTCCCTCTCTTAAGCCAGTTCGCTCGGCTTTTTTATTTCTATTAAAACTTCTCATCTCTGAAAGGGAAGCTTAAGTCTCATTTCAGCTTAAGGACATTGTCACTTATAACAGAATCATCTTTGATTGCAGCTTCCAATTGAGCTTTGATGGCTTCAGATTCTTTATGGAATTCGAGGGATTATTTTGATTCCAAATTGAGATTGATTTACAGCCTTTTTCAATCTTCACAAAAAGATCGTCATCATTTGATTCATTTATCTTGCCACACTCTTTTTCTATTGCTTCTCTTAATCCATGTTTATCTAGCCATCTTTTATTGAATCAGAAACTCTTTTGTATTCACCATTCCTGGGAACTAATTGTGGCAAGAACCGGCTGATAGTCTAAAGACTCAGAACCCCATATCTCAAATACTGCACATTTATGTGGGAAAAATAGTGATTTTATTCTTCATTACCAGTCATGTCAAGTCGACATCTAATCTTTCCCGAACGTTTGTAGCCTAGCTAAGAGAAGAGGTTACCTTTTGAATGGAACTCCACCATACCATAATTTGCTAACATTGTATTAAACGGGAGGAAGGACGCATCAGATCGTTTCTTTCCTCCTCGCTTCTCGTGGTTTCCCCTTATCTCATTAAAGTCGCCAATCATAAATCAAGCTCCTGATCTGGTTGGACTGTATGTGTAAGATGTTCCCAAACTATTTTATGGCATTCAACAACTGGATCACCATACACAAATGTTATAAACACCGTTAGGCATTCAATTTTCTCCTCAATATCAATCATATAATCATTTGAAAAAAAAAGAATCCTAACATTAAAAAAAAATCTAAATAAAACAAAGATAGTCCCCTGTTTCTGCTCTCAGCCTTCACATTAAACAATTTACTATAACCAAACTCAATCTGAAAATCTTGAAAAAGGAAAAAAAAATTGTTTCTGAAAGGAATAAACAGAATGAGAAAAACAACTTTGCAGCTCTCGTAAAAGCTTCTTTGTCAGAAAATTGTCTGCACCTTAACAATGATATTACTCTTTTCTTATTCATATTTGAATGAATGCTACTTATTTAGCTACTCATTTACCTGCTTTCAACAAACTTGACAAATTGACTTTTATATTTTTATAAATTATATATATTCTTTTTTTAGTCATACTTGACATTTAATTTTTAAATCGAAAATAAGAGAAAATAAATTATTACTTTTAAAGAATGTTTTTATAAAAGAATGTTTCTTGACTCTGTTACAAAATTAGAGTTATAGTATAAACTCGATTCGAGTTTTTTGGCCTTGCTTAGCTTTCTCACTTCTTGAAAAGATTGTTCCATTTCATCAAAATCACAATCAAAATTACACAACATGATTTAATCAAACTTCATATCTATAAACTGTAATATATACTTCATGAAATCTCCATGGATCACCTAGTCTAAGTCTCACGGAGAGCTAATGGAAATGAAAGAGAAACTGGAAGCAAATCGAAGAGACAATGAAATAGATTGTTGTGTGATAGCTTGCATATTTACATCATTTAAAGTAGTTTTGCATCATTTCATCCATATAAGTTGTCCAAAGTTTCTCATTTGCATTCATATTAGGGTTAGTGTGTTTTAGGATTAGATTTGCATATGTTGTTGCATATGGAGTGCATTTCAGATGTTTTTGGAGGTGGGGAGATTTATTGGGGAATGATGTCAAGGCATTTGAAACCACACCAAGGTCTACATCGAGTTGGGAATGAGTTTGAAGGTCGGAACAATCCTCACTGAGGTCCACACCGTGCATGGAAAGAAGTTGCCTGATATTTGAAGTTACATGGCACATCGAGCAGATACACCGTGCATGGCACTCTTCCCCGCCCGATGCTATCTGAACCAAAGCATGTTGTCGAACACTTCCGACAGCAAATCGTCCAAACCTATCTGATGCAGCACGATCAAGAATACATTGGGCAGAGACAACATGCATGGTACTTCAATTTTCCCTGTCCGATGTAAGACAATTCCGAGCGTTGACCAGATTTTACCTAAGTTTGACCCAACTTCTTTTGAATTTTACTATAAAGAGGTTGTATCTCTTATCCTATACATTATCCTAATTCTTTCTTTTCTCTTATCATTTGTTCTCTCTCTTTCTTAGGAGCAAAGAACAAAGTTTGAGATTTGTATCTTGGATCATTGCTTTTTTAATTAAATCGTGCACTTATCTTTTATTTCTTCTTGTTTATTTTTGTTTAATAATGTTTATCCATTATTTTCTCGTGAAATCAATGGGTCTAAATATAGTTAGTGAGTAGTAATCTTAGGTTTGAGATCAAGATAGATTAGGGTGATTCTAATGATTATTTAAGATGTGCAGGACATAAAAAAAATTGCATTCTCTTTTTTATGTGATTATTTATAACGCGAAGTACCTCTTTATTGGAGAAGTTAATATTAGGCTTTTGTTGACACTAAGTTGTTTGTTCAAATGCTTGAATGAATTTTGTATTTGAAAGTGTTGTTTAAAAAATCTAGATTCTTTACATCCATCTTTTCTTATATGAATATGCTAAATGCTTAGTACTATATTGGTGGGAATCGTCTTAGACTTTTGTTGAGCATGAGAATGTTAATGAAATATCTGAATTTTGTTGCATAAGAGATTAGTAAACCTAGCCTATAAAAATAGATGTCTAGCATGCTTTTTAGTTCTATGGAATTTGTGAATGAATGCTTGTTAATCATAGATACACCAGCTAGCCCTTGGGTTTGACATGTGATTAGCAAAAGAATAGTACCAAACACCATTGATTAGTCTTTAATTGTGCACCTTACATAAGAATGAGTGATTTGTATTGCTTGTTTGAACATCTTAGATATGAATAAGGATCACCCTACATCAATTGCCTTGGTCTTGAATCTCTCTTTTATCTTTGAAGCTTAGTTACACTCTGTTTTGCTCTTTTTCTCTTGCTCTTATTGTTTGTTTTACATTTTGATTCTATTGCTTATGGTTTACTTTCTTTGTTTGCTTATCACTAGGTTGTTAGTCTAAAAACCCCACTATGTTTAGCTTAGCAAGTATTTTGTATCTCATTTGCATTAACTTCTTGAGTGGATTGATAGCTCATTACTACAATGACATTTAAGTATGAGAAATTGAGGAAAATATAAAAACCTCTACTTCATTGTGGAACACAAAAAAACCTTGGCTCAACCATTACCCAAGAAAATCAAACTACTAAATAGAAGGGAAGAACAAATACGTTTCTATGGGACAGAACAAAAACAACACATCACCTCATCATGCAGATTGGAAAGAAAAAATGTGATTGAGAATGGCTACTTTGTTGTCCAAACATAGACCTCTCCTCCAACAGTAGATCCTGCAAGCATCCCAACATTAATAGGATGGCAATGGAATCTGCATGGAACAGCTTTCATAAGAGGGCTCTGCAATTTCTTCACTGTTCCCTTTAGTTTCGTAGAGATCACATCAATTCCTTTTGACTGATTGATAGGGCTCAGGTTTTACCCAAATAAAACTACTGCAAGTGCACAGCAAAAGCAGTTGTAGTACAAGAGGTATCGAAATCCCAAGAGAGTAATGCAGACTACACTATCGAATGTAGATTCGGATTAAGCTAAGCAAGATATGATGTATGTAATGCGAATGAATGAATGAAAGTAAGCAAACGATTTTGTAAGATAATCTAAGTTCCAGAAGACTAAAAGTGCTAAGTCAGGGTATTTCGCAGGTTGAATCCAAGAATGTATGACGCAGGAAATCAGAAATGATTAAGAACCGTTTTAAACATGAATCACTGATGTATAACTAATCAATTCTCATTTCAAAAGTTATATATGCCTAAATCACAGAGTTTTAAATCTCTTTGCAAACTCTAACAACCTAAACATGCAGGAATGATCAGATTCAATTGTTTACAAAACTCCTAAGCCAAATTTCTTTGCACTAAGTTGCTTTGCTCATCAAATACTAGTTCAGGTTATGAATAATGCTCTCACATATATTTAACAACCTAAGATTTTCGGGTTCCTAGATGATGTGTCTCAGAAATTCGATTTTAAAGCAAGCAGAGATGAAAAACCATAAGATATTCCTAACAGATAGCGATTCTACAATCTTTTCATCAACCTTTGAAAAACCCTAACTTAACTTGCAGATTACTCAGACATGATTATGAGATCACAAAACATAACTGAATAAAATTGCATTAAGAGAAAGAGTAAGAAATAAAAGGGGTTCGAAATCTTCTCAAAAGAGTACAGGATTTGTCTCCCCAAAAAACTCTGAATAAATCTCTCTCTAAGCTCTCTGAATTCTCAAAAACTAAGATAATAGCCAACAATGGCTGAAAAACCTAATAAATAGAGGCTAAACACGATCTGGGGTCTTTATGTAAATAAAGGAACTTCTGGGCCAATTCTGCAAATCTTCTCCATACTTTTAATAAAACAGCCACGCTCCTTCCTTGATGGGTGACGAGCGTCACCATATGTGATACTTTCTGCTTCGAGCTTGGTACTTCGTGGCTTCAACCCAGAATGCTCCAAAAGGTTCCAAAATCTCCAATTATGCTTCAGACATGCTATAACCTGCAAAGACTCTACTAGGACTCTAAAAAGACCAAAAAGACTCAATAAAAAGGACTTATATCATGGTTAAAAACCATAAAACCATGATATATCAACCCCCCCAGACTTAGCTTTTGCTTGCCCTCAAGCAAACATCAGATAGAGTACAGGGTCGAGGTTTGAAAACAAGAAACAGTCAGTCAGTCATCAGGAACACCATACTAGTTAGAGCTTTCGAATCCACATACTACAGAGTCAACACAAGATCAAATTTCAGTATAATCATCACAAGCTTAGCAAATCTCTCAAGTCCAGTCCAAATCCCTTCAAGAAATCTGAAATTTCTACTGTCAACTCCTTATTTTTATCTAAGTGTGATATCTCATCAAGGTTCTATCATCTCAATCACTTTACAGATTCTTTTCCCTTCCTAGCAACTGAACAAATAGATCTCAACACAGCTCTCCTATTTTCTCTTCCCTTGATCTCTTTCTTTGGATATTTTCGATTTTTCACTTCTTTTTTTCTCAACTTTTACAGTCTAAGATATGGTGCTACTCAATACTTGTGTTCCTTGTGAGGAGACAGGTTCTTGAATGTGTTCACTACTGTTGTTCCTTGTGAGGAGACAGGGTCATGAATGCACCATTCTTTGGACTTAATCGTTTAAAAACTACATCAGGGAAGATCAAAGAGAGACTGCATTTTAACCTTATTGTCAGTGCTGAAAGAGAGAATCAAGATCAATAAGAATCAATCACCAAGACAAGAAGTTTAAAGTTCATTAAGGTGGAGCTAACAGCAAATTTTTCAGATTCTCTAAGAACCTAAACCTTCATTGCTAGACTGATCTACCTATGACTTTCAACTTAGTGAGACTTGTAATCAACTACTGTGGCAATGGTTCTTATCAGAAAAAACGTCCTATGGTTAGTTCCAAGAAAAACTGACAGTTTCAAAATTTTGACTCTCTAAAACAGGTTTTTGACTCAACTGTAAGACTCTATAGACATGACACAAAGAACACAACGTCAGTAACCACCTCCCCCAGACTTAAACAACACTATCCCCAGTGTTATTAAGCCAAGAGTTGGTCAGAAAAATGAATGAGAAGTAAAAAAACCAAGTCAGAAAAGTGTTACCTCGTGTGGGGTCGGGTGACGAGCGTCACCAGTCTGGGGACGAGCGTCACCACGACCGGTATTGCCCAATTCTTATGTCAGATGTTAATTAACGAAGTGTTTGCATATGCACTCGAAAGACTTTTTGAGCATTCAAACACATAATTAACAACATCCAAACATAGCAAAAATAACCTGGTTTAACAATCTCACAAAACATCATCAAAGAAACTGACAACTGACTCAAAGAAAACATAAAAATGACTCAAGAGCAAGAAAAAATAAAAGGGAAAAAGGAACAAGTAACCAGATAGTGAAGCCTCAATCCTCATCCTCGCAAGGCTCAGTGGTGTAATGGGGACGGACACAACCACAGTTGCTAAGTGTAGCAACAGCATCCCAGAGTCCCTCAAAGCTGTCAATGACATACTCCTGAAAAGCAGCCATATCCATGGGTGTCTGTGGTCGTGGAGGACGCCTGAAAGCAGTAGAAGAACCACTCTGGCGTGTAGAAGGTCCAGCATCAGCAGCAGCGGCAGTAGAAGCAGAGGCGCCAGCTGTAGCAGCTCTAGCAGGGCGCAGAGTCAAGGGGCGCAGAAGAGTCCGTGCTGGCATGAAGAATAGCTGGCGTGGGTCTGTCTGGATAGTAGTGAGTGCTCTCTGTGGCAACTTAATGCCAACATACTCTCCAGAAGTGGTAGTGAAAGTCCATACAACCCCAATCTTCATCCAAGTGACATGGTGCAGATACTGGTCATCCATAAGTGATCTGTCACTGCGCAGACTGCAAGGTGTGACATCGATCTGGAAATGGTGGAAGATCGGTGTCAGCAGGCTGCCAACACTCTCAGTCTTCCCCCCTGGACTGGTGAATGGCTTGGTCTTCAAGGAGACCAGATGCTCAGAGAAAACAGCGCCTAAGTTGGCGCGAACCATGCTATCAACAGGTATCGAATCATCCAGCATCTCATAAAGTCCGTAGTAGAGGAGAATCAGCTCACTGACTCGAGTCTTGCTGGGCGCAGACTTGCACAAAATGGTGTGACCAAAGAGGCGCAGAATGTACCTCAAAACCGGATGTCGAACCTCCGTCTGCGTGCTAGTCTTGCTGTCATAGACTCCATTCCCGAACTTGGACCAGAATGTCCGCATATGGGTCCACTGAGAGGGAAGGAGAACGCCTGTCGGATGGTCAGAGAAGCCATAGATCCCACAAAGCTCCATCAGACTGATCCGGTATCGAACTCCTCGGATCAGAAACGTCATCGTGCCTTCCTGTGCACGCTTCGCCAGCTCATTCGTGTAGTAGACGCGAACTGTAGAGAGAAACTGGCGTACCAAATCTGGGTACAGATTATACTGCTGGAACGGCATAGTCGCCATCCCAATGCGCTCCAGAATCTGAACAACCTCCTCGAAGATCCCCATCTTCTGCAGAACAGCAGAATCCGCGAACCGAGTGGGGATAATCTTAACTCCCAGCCACGCATTGTAGAACAGCGTGTCATATTCATCCCACTCTTCCTGAATCTCACGGAATACACAAGTGTCTCGGGACACTTCCTGCTTCGGAGTCCCTGCCCAAGCCACTCCTGAGGCTATTTTCCGATCTTCTCGTTTGGGCCATGGGGGCCTGCAAACCGGGTGTTAACTGAAGGAATCCATAGACCCTGTTGCAGTGCTTGAAGACGAGCTTTGCCTTGGTCGTTTCTCCTGACGAGGCATCTGAAAATTGAAGAGCAAAATCGACCAAAAACATCACAAAAATTAGCAAATTTTTCAAAGTTCAAAAAATCAACCAATCAATCTGAAATAACTGATGGCGATCAACTACAGCACTACAAGGAACACAATTCAATCATCAGTTCAACCCAAATCATCCAAAATTTCCAGATTTTTGCAATTTTCATCATGAACTCAAAAATTCAAAACATGCAAATAAACCGATAAAAGCTCACATAGATGGTTCTATTCCTCTAATACAACCTAACTACCCATGATTCAACAGTTAAATCAAGCCAATCAAGTCAAAAATCGGATTTTACCAAACCTATGGCGGACTGAAAATTAGGAATTCTGAACACATACCTTGCAGATCTTAAAAATCGAGTGGATATTCAGAAAGAGGAGCAAAATCCGCATGGATTAGACTCTTGAATCACTCAATTTGGTTTAGAAAATCAAAAGTTATGAATCTCTGAAAATTCTAAATGTTCGATAGTTTAAACAGTTATCCCCGAGGAAGAAGAAGAGAGAAAATTAATAACCGTGCCCGACTTTGACGGGTGACGAGCGTCACCATAAGGGTGACGATCGTCACCACCCCTCTTTTTTTTTATTTTTTTAACTGAATATTAATATAATTACTAATCCTAAGCACGAAAATAATAACTAAGTGTTATATCTACAACTTACAAGTGGGTTGCCTCCCACTAAGCGCTTGTTTAAAGTCATTAGCTTGACTTTGATTGGCTGTTTAGACAGCTGGTGCCTGATCGAGAGACATAATGTGTCCTGCTGAAATCTCTGCTTATGCCCAGTAGTGCTTCACCCTTTATCCATTGACAGTGAACTCCTCGCCTTTGGAGTTAATCAGGACAATTGCACCATGTGGGTGAGCTTCTTTGACAGTGAAAGGACCTAACCATCGAGAACGCAATTTACCAGGAAAAAGCTGTAAGCGAGAGTTGTAGAGTAATACCTGGTC